AGATTTTCTTTACTCCGTTCCCTTAAAAAATTTTAATAATAATAATAAGGAAACAATTAGTTGAGTAAAATAAAATAAGTAATGAAAAAGTTATAACATAGGGAAAATGAGTAAGAAAAAAAAAGAGAAAAAAAAAAACAAACAAAATTTTGGATGCATATCACACTTTATAATTTGAATTTCATAATCATAAAAGTAAAGTAGATTTTCGATAATGGGATTCTTGAGAAGTTCAAGTAGTGATTTTTAAAAAATCCCTAGATTAAATTTTTTTTAAAAAATATTGTCAAAGTATTAGAATATTTAGAATGATTTTCAATACAAAAAATTTTTGTTTACTTTTCATTATTAAAAATGAACTTTTATGTAATGTAATAGTGTTACAAATTAATTTGTATGCATCATATTTCTTTCATACACACCAATTATGAAAGTAAACGAAATCTTTGAAAATGAGATCATAAAGAAATCTGAATAGTGACTCTTTAAGAATCTATAGGTGAAAAAATTTATTTAAAATTTTTTATATTTTTCATTAACAAAAATAAGATAATAAAAAATGTTTTCATGAAAAGAAAATATACATTTGAGATAAATCATAAGTATTTATTATATGCATTTTTTAAAAATATTAATTTTGAGAATAAATATGAACCGTTGAGGATGAAATTCATAAGAAATTCGAGTAGTGATTATTAAGAGATTTTTAGGTGAGATAATTTTTTTAAATTTTACCAATGTAATGGAATACTTTTGGGAAGTCTTCGATACGCAAAGTTCTTATTTATTTTTCAAATAAAAGATTTTTGGTGCAAATAAAAAAGAGAAATTATTTTTGTATATAAAAATTAAGACTATTTTGACATGATTAAATGATAACACATAATTAATCAAAACTATTTTCAGACGGGCACTATGAATGTGTTAATTATTTTTCATACGTAATCAATTCTTGAACTCAAACTGTTTCTTATACCATAAAATTATTTTTTTAATAATTTTAGTTAATTTTAAAATTTTATTAAAAAATAAGTTTTAATAGACGATTAATTACATCTAAACAAAAAATATTTGTGATGACTTTTTTTATTTTTTTTATAATTTTTTAACAATTCTAAAATTGTTACGACATTGCAAACCCAATATTAAATTCTTTGATCAACATCACATTTTTTTTTTTTTATCAATCTCGCATCTAGCATCAAGTAGTTAGTTTCGTCCTTCTTTAATTTCAATTTTTCTTATTATCAATGTTTTTACATTATCCGAATTTTATTTTTTTAAATATTTATAGTTATAAAATTTAGAATATTGTAATAAAATTATATCATTTTTTTTAAATAAACAAGTGAAAATGATTCATAATTTTATTTTTCAACAAAGCGCCGATGAATTTCTAATTTAATTACATTTTGCTAAACTCAACCGTTTACGTACCTATTCTTGGCTAAACGTCTGTATGGCGGCAAATAATAATAAACGTTTTAAAATCAACATTTATGGTTTGTGCCAGATTAAATAAATAAAAAAGGAAAGTCAAAGTTTAGGCTTCGATTCCTACCTGCTCCTGTATCTCATCTATATGTACTACATGATCAAGTACCTATTCTAACTTGAATATATGAAAACAATTTAAATAACCAAAACATCAAAGTCAAAGTTCAGGCTTTAATTCTTACCTTTCTCCTTTATCTCATCTATATGTGCTACACGATAAAGTATCTATTCTAACTTGAATGCATGGATACAATTTAATTATTTTTGGGTAAAAATCCTAACTTAATTAATGCATCAAAAAGTTTTTTTTAAAGTGTTATTCCGCTTTAGGGATGATAATTGAATTTTTAACTTTTTTAGATAATGTTAATATTATAAATTTTTAAACTTTAATTTAAGTTTGAATTGAATTTTTTTTTTAAATTGATTTGATTCGAACTATATTCAATGACTTCGATTTAGTTCATTAATATTTGAAATTTATTTTTTTATTTTTTATATATTATTTTAATATAAGTTTTATTATATTTAAATAGACTTAGATATAAATAATTATTTTTATTTTATAAAAATTTAAAAAATATAATAAAGTTAATAACAATATATAATTTAATCTGATTCAATTTTTTTTTATTTTTCACTTTTCGATCGAATATAATATATACATTTAATATCTAAACTTAATTCGAATCAAATAAAAAAAATCAATCCAAACCGAATTGAATATTATGATTTCAACTCGATTTTTGATTTTTTTTCTCACCCATTGACTCCTGCAATAATTAAATTTAAAAATTCTTTTAAAGATAATAATAACTTCCTTAATATAATATTATTTTGAAAGAGCTATTACAAAACTTAAACTTCATATGGTAATGAGGTATTGGCTCAATAATAAGGAGGAGGTTTTAGAATTCTAAAATTCTAGATTCAAATTTTACTATATGGATTGTCTAGTTATATTCTAATTTATTAGTTGATTATTAAATAATCATAACTTGATTATTATATAATAATTGATTATTCAATTGATTATTTAGTTGATTACATAAATATAATACTTGATTACAATTATAATTTAAAAAAAAAAAACAAAATTTAATCCTATTAAAATATACATATCTTTGTCAAAACTTTTCTGATAATGTATTAAGTTATGGCATAGATATCTGTTCAGCCTCCTAACTGTAAAACAAAAATAGTTCACATCTAGTATGCAGTTGGTTTGTGGATAGTTGTATGGTCCTTTGATGTGATACTCTATTCTTAATTTCAGTAGTCATGATATAAATCTTAATGTTTCGATTAATATATATATATATATATAATTGGTTTAGGGTTTTAATTAGAATGAAAAGAACTAGCTTAAGCTTTTTATTAACGAATATTCTTTTTATATAGTAAGGGTTCTACAACGGCAACAGAAGCCCGTAGCAATTTAAACTTTAGGCCAAGATTTCTTACATACCCCTAAAGGGAAGAGATCTCCTAACTAAGTAGCTTACCAAACTTTAGATTAACAAGAGGCTAGCTACCTTCTCCTCTTTTCACACCAATTTTTATATTGGAACGTTTTAGCGAATTTTCAGATATAGGAAGGCTTGGAATATGCAATGCATTAAATTAGACTTGACATTTTTGTTTCCATCTCATCTAAAAAAATGTTGCTTCTTTCTTTCTCTACCAAATTAATGAGAGATTAAAGATAGACAAGCATGAAGTGAAAATTTTGTAGGCACACTCTTTAGGTTTTGCTTTCTGATCATGTTTGTAAAAGAAAAATTCAAGCAGCTTTTATTAATCCTAAATTTTGCCGTAAGCAACAAATCGATGTTGACAATTGATTACCAAGGCTCTATTTAGTAGATATTTTTATTATTTATCTTTTATTTTTTCTATTATATTTTGAAAAAGAAAATAAAGTAGCCTTATCAAATGTAGCTCAAATCCCAAAAAATTTGTACAATTCACTCGAATATGATACAATATGATTTAATCAAACAAATTTAAAATTTAAATCTGTCCAACTTGAACAAAAAATAACTCGAACCAAAATTAATCTTAACTCAATATGATCCAAATTCGAAATAATCTTAAGTTGAAAATGATTCAGACTCAAAATGACTTGAAAATTATCTGAAAATTAACCCAAAATGATTTAAACTTAAATAAGTATAGTTTTATTTAAAAAAAAAAACCAAATTAATAAAAATAATAAATATAACACAAATTATTAATTTATTTTAATATTATAACTTTAAATTATCTTTTGAAATCTCTTTTCATTACTATTACAATTTTATATAATTTTGAATATTATCCTTCTTAATTGTTATTAAAAATTAAAAAAAAAGATTATTTCTATTATTATAATTACATTTAATTGTTATGTTTATTAGCACATATTATAAATAAAGCCAAGTATATTACATATATAGATATGACCATATAGGTATATTAAAAAAAAAATCTCAAGTTTCGCTTTGGGACATATATAATTTCATATTAAACAAATAATTGTGAAATAAAAGTAATTAGATAAATTTATTATAACTTTTAATATCATAATCTTGTTATATGCTCATGTATTAAAACAATTCAAATTCATCCAAAAAATTATGAGAAAGAAAGCAAAAGCTTCAACTTTGCAAAAAGATATTTTGAATATATTTGTTTTTATGATATATGTTGAGGAATAAACAACATATTGATAAAAAAAAAAAAAATACTCCCTTCCAAATGTCAAGTGTCAAGCTTTCAACCGTGTCAAGTAAGAAAATCATGCCAAGCTTTCCTTCATTTTCCTTTCTATTTTCCTCTCATATGCAATTTCACACGATTGCCACATGAGCCTCATATTTGGAGTTCCTATCTATCTCATCTTTTTTCCTCTCTCTTTCCGTTGGTCCTAATTTTTCATCTTTCTAAAATATCTCATCCACTTTTCATTCGTCAATTTCATCTTTATCTAATAAACTCTAAAATATTTATATTGATCTTAATTAATAAAAATAATACCTATTATGTCCTTAAAATGTCAGGTGTCAACAATATATGTGTCATGTACTTAATTTTCTATTAATGTTAACTTTCATAGTAATTTCAATTGTTAATATGAACAATAAAAACAAATAGGAGTTTTATAGTAATTTCACTTGTTAATTTTCATATAGTTACAGATAGATTATAGATAATTAAAAAGAAATACATGCCATATGTCAAGTTTTTATGAAGCACATGACAAGGATATTATAATAATTTAATACATAATTAAGTTTTATGTAATTAATTTAATATGTAATTTAATAAAAATATTATAATAATTTTGTAATTAATTTAATAAATAATTGAATAAAAATATTATAATAATTTTTAAACAAAGTGACATGCCACATGAGGAAAAAAAAAAAAAAGACACACCACATGTCAAATTCCCATAAAGCAAAAGATGACCTTTGAAAGTTTGAAATTGGATTTTTTTTTAATAAATATTAAAAATTAAGATGATTTTATTGGATACGACTAAAATTGAATCAATGATAACAATGAAATATGAAGTAAAAATATTTTGTTTAGTAAAAATAAGTAAAACCACACATTTTTTCATTATATAAAAACTAATATTAATTTAAAGCATACAAATTATAATTTTTATTTATTTTTAAAATATTTTTATTTTTTTAATAAAATTATAATAAAATCTAATTCGATCAAATAATTTATTTAAATTTAATCTAATTAAATTTTTAAATTTAATAAATTAAACTTAAAATTATCTAAATTCTAAATGATCCAAACTCAAAATATCTGAATGTCCAATCCAAATCATTTAAATCCGAAAATAATCTAAACGTAAAATAAGTTAAACTTAAAATTAACCTGAATTTTTAAAACGTGAATTGATCTTCGCTCAATTAACAGGTCTAAATTAAAACATTTATCAATATACAAATTCTAATTAAATTAAACTAATGAAGCTATCATTTGAATGGCCAAAAACTTTAATCTATCTAGAGAAAAGAAGAAAATACATCAATATACACGAGTTTTCTCATTACCTGAGGTTTCTTTAAAAAAAAAAATGATTAGTTTAAAATTAAAGCAAAAATATATATTTTTTCAATATCTCACGCATCTTCCATAAAACCTTGCCTGTGTATGGCATCAGTCAGTGCACTATGTATTACTATCTGGCACAAAGAATGAAGCTAGCGTACGGACGTCAAGAATTATCTTGCTCTTTTGTTTGTTTTAATTGGGACAAAATTTTAAAAGGAAATATATATATTTATATATATACACGCACAAGCAGAACTGCATATTAAAATTCAGCGGGAAAATTTTGATTATTTGATCTTTTTGAACTTTAATTTGTTGGAAACTCAGACAAATTAATTGCATTGAGAAATGCCGAAAACATGTACTGAAAGTGTAAAAGCAAATTAAGACCTAGCTAGTAGAGCTCGTAGGTTTGGGGTATATTTAAAGGAGAATCGATTGATTGTTGGTCCCAGAAGCTCCTTGGAATTGCAAAAGAAAGTTACGCAAGATGGATTTGGGGTCATGGTCCTCGTGGGTCTTTGCGCTTGTTCTTGCAGCTGATTTTGCGTGCCACGGCTTCATTTACGCAGAAAAAGGTATTGACATATTTACTTATTAGTATTATAACCATGAGATTCTCCCACTCACAAACGGACGAAGTTATGCGAGTGCATGCAAATCTAAAATGGGTAAAACTATCTATCTGGGTCCAAGAGTTGCTTTCAAGATTGTTCTCAACATTCCGTTATCAAGCAAACATTTGTATAAATTAATTAGCTTTGAAACAAACATTGGTTTACACTTTGAACATTTTGGATTTTGGTTTACATATTTGCACCAGATATATAGCTTTGAAGAGTTTTTTCCCATTCCTTTTGAGAAAAGAAAAAGTTTTAACACAAAGTCCCCCTAATTGCAGCTCCTTATTACAGCTTTGTCGAAGAAGCAATCTCAGCTCCAACAGTCTTATATTCTTATGACTACATAATCATCGGTGGTGGAACCGCCGGCTGTCCATTGGCCGCTACCCTGTCTCAAAATTCAACTGTTTTAGTCCTAGAAAGAGGAGGGTCTCCATATGTCAATACTAGCAAGTTGAGGCCAGAAAACTTTATTTCTACTATCACAGACAACTCCCCTGATTCATACTCTCAAGCATTCATCTCCGAGGATGGAGTCTTTAACAGGCGTGCACGTGTTCTTGGTGGAGGAACAGTGATTAACGGAGGTTTTTACTCGCACGCCGAAACTGTCTTCCTCGGGGAAGCCGGTTTGGATGAATCATTAGTCAATGATTCATACAGGTGGGTTGAAAAGAAGTTGGTATTTGAGCCTGCTGTGCTGCAATGGAAATCCGCCATGAGAGATGGGTTGGTTGAAGCTGGGGTTTTACCGTACAATGGGTTTACATATGATCATATTAATGGGACTAAAATTGGTGGAACTATTTTTGATAGGGATGGCAATAGACATTCTGCAGCTGATTTGCTTGAGTATGCTAATCCAGAAAGGATTAAGGTTTACTTGCATGCTACTGTGCTCAAGATCATGCTTACAACAAAGGGTACCTTAATTTACTTAAAATGTTGAGTCAATCAACCTTTTATTTACAAGCGTAGTTTTCAATATACTTTATTTAAAAGCAATTTTAGTTAATGGGGAGCTGAATTAACTCAAATAAAATACTTTATTCTGTTGCAGTAGTTCGATCAAATTCAAGACCAAGAGCTAATGGGGTGATTTTTGAGGATGCAATGGGTAGAAAGCACTGGGCGGTCTTAACAAATGAGTCGAAGAGCGAGATAATCTTATCAGCCGGTGCAATTGGAAGCCCACAATTACTATTGTTGAGTGGTATTGGGCCCTCCCATCAACTTGATAAAATGGGTATTAAGGTGGTGATAGACCAACCCATGGTGGGCCAAGGGATGGCTGATAATCCATCGAGTGGCCTCTATATTCCTTCTCCTCGGCCCGTTGAGCTCTCACTGATTTCGGTCGTGGGCATCACCCTCTTCGGTGGCTATATAGAAGCAACCTCTGGGCTTAATTATGCCTCTGCTTATGCTCAAAGACCCTCTAATGATAATGCCACTATTTTGAATAAGGTTCTTACCCATTTCCCCACCTTGCTTACTTGCGTCCAATACTTTATATATATTTTAGTTGTGGAATGTGTCTTTGGTTTGTTCAGTTTATCACAATAAAGTAAATTAACGGATGACTCAAATGAGCTTGAAAGATACTAACGTCGGGTTTGGCTGTACTTTTTAGCCTGCAGAGAGCTCCATGACACTCCCAGCCGCAATGGATGACACTGCCTCCTTTGACCTTAATTCAACAAATGTGGGTAGTATTTTCGAAAAAATTAAAGGTCCAATCTCTAGGGGTCAACTTGGGCTACGAAGCACAAATCCCAACGATAACCCGAAGGTCACGTTCAACTACTTCCAAGAATCAGAAGACTTAACGAAGTGTGTGAAAGGCATGGAAACCGTTATAGATGTCATAAGTTCCAAATCATTCTCGAAATTCCGTTACAGAAACATAACAACACAGGCTCTACTAGACACGATGGTGAAGCTGCCCTTGAACCTAAGACCAAAACATCCTAATTCTGCAACGTCCTTGGAGCAGTTTTGTATAGACACCGTCACGACCCTTTGGCATTACCATGGAGCCTGTCAAGTAGGAAAGGTTGTTGATCAAGATTACAAGGTCATTGGTATAGATGGCCTCAGGGTTATAGATGCTTCCACCTTTAATTTCTCCCCTGGAACAAATCCTCAAGCTACAATTATGATGCTAGGAAGGTAATGACATACTATATACCTATATTTACAATATCTTTTTATTTTTTTCATTTTGAATAGTTCAATCTCTTGATTTCCTAGATCAACAACAATGTGATTTGTATTTATATCTTAACGGCAAAAAGATAAAAAAGCTCTATAACTAAAAATCAATAATCATCAAAGACCTTATCATTTTTTTACAATCAATTAAACCCTTAAACATATTTTTTTCATCATTTAAGTTTTTATTAAAAAAATGATTAATTATTTTCATCTAATCAATGGTTTAATTGAGCAAAAATATATATTTAAAAGTTTAATTTGACGAAAATAAATATTTAAGAATCTAATTGAATTGAAATAAAAAATTCAGAATTTGATTTACTGTAATTAAGTATAAAAAATTTAAATGATTATAAAATTCTTATTTGAGAGCTATTTTAACCCCTTTGCTTATTTTAATTTATGGTGCAGATATATGGGATTAAGGATTCTGCAAAATCGATGAACCAGGCTTGTACGATAATTTCCTTCTGGGAAAAAGAAAACAGATCAAGAACAAAATATATGATACGAAATAAAAAGCTTCTGGATAATAGACAACCTGTTTTTATGTGTTTTTTTTAATATATAATAAAATGGAGATGAACACCACAGCCTTTTGATAAGTACTTCAAGGCCCAATTTTCATCTCTGTACTTCTTCAAAAATTATTATTATTATTATTATTATTATTATGCATTTGAAGATGTTGATAATTGAATTTTAATAATTGAGATTACAAATTTAATACTCTTGTCAATAAATCACAAAGTTATGAGCAACTTCTTGCAAGATCCCTTTTTAGATGTAATCCTAAAAATAATTTTCTTACTCTTTGTATGATTAAAGACAATTATAATTGATAGAACTTTTAATGACTGATCCATAATACTAATACATAAAAAATGTAACCAATAAGTGTGGAATGATAAAAAGTATTTCATACTGATTCTTTAATTCAGGTGTCTATTAAGTAAAAATAAAAATAAAAAAATTGTTAAAATTATTTGAATTTTTTTATATATGTATAGAATGTTCACATTATCTGATAACTTGGTGGAGAATCTCCACACTCAACTGCTTTTTTCCTCCTCTCATCTTAAAGCTAAAGGCACGGACTAAGAGAGAGGGAGAATCTATAATGCTGCTACTGCATGGAAAGAGATTGCAACACTTGGATATGGGGAAGAAAAAGAAATCGAGGATGGAATTTTACCTATCCAAAAGTCCTTTTGAAGGAGCCACAAAGTATATCCATAGCATAACCCATAAGCATATGCCATTCCCTCGATGGTTTATTCTGTCCCTTCCGGACAGAGTGCTTATAAAAGACGTTCAGAGGTTACCTGCAGAACCTAGAAGCTATTCAAGACAACAGTCCAGCCAGAGGAGGTTGCTAGTAAGCAAACCAGTCGTAGGGCACCTCTCACTTGGCAGGTTATGATAATTATTACTGCATGTTATGGGTGAAACAGCATTTGTTCCCATGACTTGCCAAAGGAGAGTTGCCCTGTGACTGCTTCAGCTTAGTATCCCATCTACTGCTATCCACGCAACTAGTGCTTACAGAGGATTTGGTAGGGATTCTTAGACAAATGAAATGCTTTTAACTGGCATATTTCCGCCTAACTCATGCAACTGTCATGCACGTTTCCCTTGAAGGCATTGTATGTTAGCAATATAGCAAATGAATGTCAGCATATGTAGCATCTATCAGTGTTTATGGCATTCGGTTTCTTATGTAAAGTTTAACCAGCTTGGGTCAATCTTTAGTCGAACATTTCATGTTGGATCATCATCGATTGGTTTGTATTTTGTTTGATGATCCATGTGAAAAAGCTATATCAGAGAAACCTTTTTAAAAAAAAATGTTTCATCCTTGACAAAAGCAAAATTCATTTTTAAAAAATTTTGAGCTAGGAAATTTATTGAATATGGTTGCTCAGAAATCATGTAAGTTTGATACTGGTAAAAAAAAAAAAACTCTACACTAATTCCACAAGTAGGAGATCCTAAAGAATGTACAAAACATGTGTCATGCAGGTAAAAGTTTGTTATCTCTTTTCTCTTTCCCCTTATTCATATCCTAATGAATTGAGACATATCATAAGTTTGGAACGAACAGAGCTAAGATGCATATATTGTTCCAATATTGTTATCAAAATAAACATTCTTACCCATAATTAATAAGCATATGTAAAAAGCAAGTCACAACACCCAAAACAAAAGAAAACAAATGAAGCAACAGCAACATTGGGATTACTGTAATTAAAATTTTCATATTACAAATCTACAGTACTCTTAAAAGAGATAATAGATTCCATGATTCTTTCTTGAGAAAAAGAAGCAAAAAAAAAAAAAAAAGGTAATTAAGAAATCAAATAGGTAATAAAAAAGAAGTGATAAAAATCATGCCTACCTTGCACCAGTCTGTAGGACAGGGAACTGACCAGGATCTCCCAAGTTGATTCTGAGAGCAGCCGCCGCATATATTAACTTCTTCTTCTTTAGCCTGGGAATAGACTTGGTGTGGGCATTTTTGACAGAAGCCCTCAGGCCGTTCACTGTTTTTGGAAAATCATTAATGCTAATTGTTTTATGATTTTTCCTGACATCCATGGTTCTGCCATCTTTATTAAGCTTCTGGATGGAAAGATTGTCCTCATTTATCTTCCCAACAAGTTTCATAGACTCAAAGCCCTTAGCAAGGTTCAAAGATCTCTCTTCATCCTGCTTTCTCCAAGCATCAAAACCCTTCTTTTCAAGGAAGAACTTCCTCATATTCCTTGAGAGTCAAGTATTGTGGAAGTTGAGGCTTTGCTGTTTCAGCCTTCACCTGAGCCGGGCCTTGATCGTTTGCGGTTGCATTTGGTTTCGGTTTTGGCCTTCGAAGCACTTTCTGTTGTGCCAAAACATGATCAGGAAGGTGAGAGCTGCTTCGCCAGCAAAATCTCAAGTTCACTGGCGCCTGCTTCTTGTTCTTGAGTTGCTCCCCGGGATTTAAATAGCGATCGCGGTCACGTTTTCGGTCGCTTCACGTTTATCGTATTTTCGGATATAACAAAAATTATTACGGTCACTGCGATCATCGCGGTCATGAAATTTTTTTTTTTGCACAATTTATTATAAAATGTAATAATTATAATTATAATTATAAAAACTCTTATTCAATGATTTTAAAAATAGTTTATGACACTCTATGTTTTTTATTTTCTAAAAAAATTATTCACAATTTTATTTAAATTATAAAAAGCATTCATATTGGTTTATCCATAAAATTTTCTTGGCCAAGTTTATATTCAATATTAATTCTAGACAAATCAAATATTAACAAAACATAATATGTTAAATACCAAGCATTTAATTTAATAAAATTACAAACTTAAAAATAAAATAAATTCAAATTCCATCAACTACAATTATTGATACATATTTCAAATTTACCACATGGTAGAATGACGAGGAGGATCAGATTCTCTATCTTTACTTTGAGAGCCAAGTTGACTCCATCTTCCATTCCTGAGACCTTTGTTCTTGATACATTTGAGATGAAGGATATATTTAAGGATGATACATTTGTGGTAACTGATACATTGAAGTGAAGGATATATTTGAGGAGGTGGATGATACATTTGAGGTGGATAATAACTATATGAAGGTGGATAACCATGGAGGAGGTTTGAAAATATTTGTTCTGGTGGATAGTATGTCTTTGAGTCTAGCAGATGATTCACTATACTCAAAGTTACTAGAATTTGGTCTTCACCTGAAAATGAAGAACCTCTAGAAATTTCATAGTGGTGCTTCTTTGCTTTTCCTTTTGATCGAGCTGTACGTGCACTTTGACCCTCACTAGATTCAGCAATATGGATTTCTTCCGTATTCTGCCATATTAATAAAAAGTCCACCAGTAGCAGCAAGCCAAATTCTCCTCCAAGTGGGGCTGTAAGGTCGATTTGCATCCATATTATCACCAAAATTTCGCTACCATTCACCATCACCATCTCCATCACCATCATTATCTGGACTTAAACCACCACCATCATCACTCTGACTTGGTGTTGGACTTGAACTTGAATGAGACACATTCCTTTCTTGAGATTGACGTGATTGTTCAACATTCATTTCATTATCAGAATTATCTGCAGGCAACCAATCAGAGTTTTGACCATCTAATAGAGGATTTTCTTTCTCTTGCAGCCATTCTGTTAGTGGATCATCATCTTCAAAAATATGGTCAAGGCTAATAGGATTAAAACTATTATTTATTTCATCAATGCTCATTCTTTTCTGATGTCTCATCCTCAACCTCATGTTATAATAGGTATATACAAGTTTCTGGAGTCTTTCAAACTTCAATCTGTTTCTTGCTTTGGTGTGAATATAGCTAAATGTGCTCCAATTACGTTCACAATTTGATGCAGATGTTGTTTGACTAAGCACTTTGATTGCTAGTTTTTGTAATTCAGGAACACAAGTGCCATATATCATCCACCACTCAGCTGTATAAAATTATTTAAATTAAATTTCAATGGGCTATACAATTAAATAATATAAATAAATTATAATTATTTAACTTACTATTTACCTGGATTCATTTGCTTCTAAGCTCTTTGTGCTTGTGGATTACCAAATGTTTCATGCTTGTCTCGAAATAATAATAACTACATCGATTGAAAATACAATAATAAATGAATAAATAAAAAATAATTTAATTTTTAATACATAAAACAAATGTTAAAGTTATAAAATAGTATTAAATACTAACCTGATTAATCATTCTGATTTGAGTATCTATCGAAGGTTCTAATCTTTCAATAACTGCTTTTATACCTTCTAATGTTTCCTTAAATACATTTGCAGAATGTTCCACTTCCAAATTGAAATTGTGGATTTAGATAGTAACCTAAACATAATTTATAACAATATTATATTAAAGTAATAAAAAAATAAATATATAAGCAATTTAAGTATAAAAAA